TTACAATATTTATTTGCGAATTTTTGGCGTTAATTTTATATATGTTTTTCATACTTTTTCCTATTTTTTTATTAGTCAATTACTCATTTTCGAGATTTACCGAAAAAAAATAAAAATTTAAAAAAAAATGTTGAAAACGGGTCGGGTAGTTTATTTAAAAGAAGGGGTATATCTAGACCTTTTCGAATAGTTTAGGGGTATATTTGACCCTTTTCCAATGCCACGTGGTAATGTAAAAATAACATGGCAATTCCATTTGGCGTTTAACGCCCATAAGGGCATATCCTGACGAAAAGTTGGATGACGAGGGCACAAGTGAGCCAAACTTTAAACGAGGGTATGCTAGACCTTTTCGAATAGTTTAGGGGAATATTTGACCCTTTTCCCTATATTAAATAATAAATATTATAATTTAAATTTAAAAGCAAAATTAAATTAGGTCAAAAGAGTGCACAAGAATCAAGACCTTTTGTGTCTTTTCAAACTTTTCCACTTTTCTATGTCTCTTTACACTATACACTTTATTGTTGACTCTCTTTTCCACTTTTGAGTTTTGACTCAAGCGACAAGCAGCAGGCACTAGGCAGCCAGACACAACAGCGACTCTTTCCCACTTTGCCATAGTTCCACTTTCGGCGATCGGCGTCGAGCAGCAGCAGCCGCCACTCGCCAGTTCCAGTCGACCAATAGCACGTTATAATGACATGCCAACAGTCTTCTTACTTGGAGACACATTATAATGACATGCCAACACGTCTTTAATAAAATCTTAGGTTTATATTTGAATAATTGACAAAATATTAAGATTCTCTGTTTTTTTTTTTTATTCTTATTTTTAAATTAAACAAAAAAAGAAAAGTAAATTTATATTAATGTTCCTCGTTTTTGAAAGAAAAAAAGGAACAATGAGTCAATGACGGATTGACGTCGGTGCAAGTCTACAAGATTGGTGTCATGGTGTGGAACTTGGAAGATTCATACAATAATTTAAAAAACAAAGTAAAATACTAAAATAAGCAAAAATAAATAAATATAAACAAAATAAACCAAAAAATTACAAATTTTTAAAAAGCACACTAAGCAGGCCCATAAAAAAATTGAACTAACAAAAATCGAACCGAAATAACATAAACCGAATCCAAATAATAAAAACCGAACCGAACCGAATTATTTCAGTTCGGTGTTCGGTACACATGATACAAGAACTGAAAACTGAAAAAATCAAAAAAAATTGAAACTGAACCGAGATAACGAATGCCCAGCCCTACACATGGGTGTTTTTTATTCGAAATAAATCTGAGGTTCCGACTCTTATTATGAATTTTGTTGAGTATGTGTATACACGGTTCCATAAAACTATAAAAATATTTCGTTCTGATTCTAGAGGAGAGTACACTAAGACTAATCTTGTTGATTTTTTCAAAAACAAGGGAATTATTTCTAAACACACTTGTCCTCATACTCTGGAACAAAATGGAGTCGTAGAAAGGAAGAATCGGCATGTTTTGGAAACTACATTGGCTTTGTTGGGCACATCTAATATGCCTAAGTGTTTTTGGCCTGAAGTAGTACATACTTCTGTATATTTGATTAATAGACAAACTTCCCCAGTCATTGCTAATGAGACACCGTACTTCAAATTATTTCATAAAAAGCCTGATTATTCTCACTTGCGAGTTTTGGTTATGTTTGCTTTGCCCATCTTCCAGCAATTGAACGACAAAAACTTTCAGCAAAGGCAGCATAATGTACTTTTGCGGCTACAGTGACACCCAAAAGGGGTATCTATGTTATGATGCATCTCGGCACCAACTTCGTGTATCTAGACATGTTAATTTTTTTTAGGGTCAATTTTCTTACAAACACAATTCTAAACATGCTTCAGAATATGTTTCCTATTTGTACAAGATTGATGATGATGTGGTAGCTAATGATCCTCTGGAGCAGCCCATGAACTATGATCATGATGATCTCCAGCCATCCTATTCTTTGATTATTAACTCTACATACGCATCCTCATCTTTCGAAAATGAATCCTCTCATCTAATTACTCCCCCACGCCGATCTAGTCAGACAGATCGCCATGCTCCTGAACAACTTGGTTACTCTCCAGGGAAATACGGTAAGTCTTATGCCATGCATACCACACTACATTACTCTCAGGCTTCTACACAAACTTGTTGGAAAGAGGCAATGTTGGAAGAGCTTCGTACATTGAATGAAAATTCTACTTGGGCATTTGTTGATAAACCAATAGTTGGAGTTCTCATTGGAAGTAAATGGGTGTATTCCATTAAACTTAAGGCAGATGTTACAATTGATCGCTACAAAGCTCAATTAGTTGCTCAAGGGTACAAACAGGAGTATGGGGTGGATTATGAGGAGACTTTTGCATCTGTTGCTAAGATGACAATGGTACGGACATTACTAACTTTGACTTCAATGAAAGGTTGGACCTTACATCAGATGGATGTGAAAAACGCATTCCTCCATGGCGATCTGGAAGAAGTGGTCTTTATGAAACCACCACCTGGGTGTGTTCTGCCAAGACAAAATGCAGTTTGTTGTCTTCGAAAATCTCTTTATGGCTTTAAACAGGCTCCCCGAGATTGGTTTGACAAATCTTGATCCATGATTCAAACTGTGGGCTTCTCTCGGAGTTCTTCAGATCATTCTTTGTTTCTTCGTACTTCTCCAGTGGGCATCACAATACTTCTCATCTATGTTGATGATATCATTATCACAGGAAATGATCTAGAGAATATTACTAAGTTGAAAGAATTCTTGCATACCTCATTTAAGATGAAGGACTTGGGACGACTGATATACTTTCTTGGACTTGAGGTTCTATACCTGCCTACTGGGATCATGCTTACACAACAAAAGTATGCTCGTGATCTTGTTGCAAGGGTTGGTCTTACTAATGACAAGATTGTGTACACCACAATGGAGATTAATACTAAGTACAAGGAGGTTGATGGAGAACCATTCAATGATCCAACATTGTATCAGTAGTTGGTGGGATCATTAGTTTATCTCATTGTGACAATGCCAGACATCTCATATGCAGTACAAGTTTTAAGTCAGTTTGTGGCTAATTCTTACCGTATACATCACACTGCATTACTTCGTGTCATTCGATATGTTCGTGGTTCTGCATGTTTCTTGGCACATCCTTGATATCTTGGAAATGTAAGAAACTATACCGTACATCTAAATCATCTACAAAGGCTAAGTATCGTGCTATGTCGGCAGCAAGTTCGGAAATTGTTTGGCTACGATGGCTATTATCTGAGCTTAGTGTCGCTATTACATCTCCTACAATGCTACATGTTGATAACACTAGCGCGATTAAAATAGCCACAAACCCGATGCAACACGAAAACACAAAGCATATAGAGGTGGACTACCATTACATTCGAGAATTGGTTATCAATCATCTCATCACCCTACAACACATTCCTTCTCATGATCAACTTGTTGATTTGTTTACAAAGGCGATGACATGAGCACGACATCACTATCTTTTCTCCAAATTGCTACTTTGTGATCACCGGTATCAATTTGAGGGGGGATGTTAGGAAAAGCTATAATTGTATAATAATCAGAAAATATATTCTTTCTTAGAATAGGACTGATTTACAGAATATACATTTATAACAATATATACTCCTTCCTAGAATAGAACTCTAACCCTACAATTGTATAGCTATAAATATTTGCTTTCTACTGTATCATTGATTAATAGAGAAAACTATTATTCAGAATATCTTATGTATTTCTAGCACTTATAAGTGTTATCCCAATTATTAGAACGATGACAAGTGGATCATGAAGGAACATTTTAATCTCTATCTTCTAGAGTCTTGAACATGTCATAGCATATATATAAGTCTGTAAAGTGAAAAGGTGCACTTTGCCAATCTGTTCATAGTTTTGGATTGTGCCTATGGTTTTGCTTCAAAATTTTGTTTATATAAGATAAAGTTACAAAGTTCCCATACATCATACATGATATATATATATATAACTACTGAGTTGTATAACAATCTTGAGAGGCACCACCCTACACATGCATGTCCACTGAGGACTAGTTGAGACGTGACTATTTAATTTGAGAGAAAAAAGTTCAGTTAATTGGATTCAAGCTTTTTGCAACACCTAAGAGATATATGTTATAGGTATTTGACATTTTTTTATGATTTGAGCTAAATATACTAGGATCAAACTATGTACAATTTTCATCGATCATATTGTCCCTTCTGCTTTCTTAAATGCGTTTGTAATTTTTTACTCTGAGGTTACCTTTTTTGTTTTAGTATTAGATTATGAGAATTGTCAAAGTAATTCTATTTTTCCATCTTAATTACAGGGACAGGAACACAAATGGCATCGAGAAGAGTTTGAAGGCCTTTAATGTTTTCTTTTTATCATATGTACAATGACATTGAACAATATTGGCAATATTGGACATATACTAAAATACTGGATGTCTGGATGCATTTAATATTTGTAAGCAATTTTTTGATAGTTATTGGAAAAATAGGTTTTAGTGGCAATTCGAGCTGCTACTAAAAATATAACTAGTTTAATGACAATTTAGTCGCCCCTAAAGCTCATTCTATTGTAGCGACAAGAGCTGCCACTATATGTATAACACTATTGTGGCAACTTATGTCATCACGTCAAGTCATTTTCAGTGACCATAAGAGTTGCCACTAAACGTAAAATGCTATAGTGGGAATCCTGTTCGTCACTAAAAGTCAATTTTCTGTGGCGACTAACTAAACTTAATAGTACCCTGGTTAAGTTTAATTAGGTGTGTCACCTTGAGATTTCAGGTACAGTTCATGGAGGTACTTATGCATTATCTCACCATCTTTGATGAAGGTGTTAATCCGTTACATCAATTTTACTTGCTTTTTCATTCCTAATATCTTTAGGACTAATTTATTCAAAATAGCTCTAGCAAAATGAGACAAAACTTAATGAACCATGAGAACGCATAGAAGCTCAAAGGTTTATTGTCTTAATAGTAATAGTAATAATAACTGCAGCAAGCTGACTAGTCATATATCAACTTGCTACATAATTTCAATCATATGTTGCTCGATTTGTAAAATCAAGTTTTTGCTTATGAAGGAAGAAGCAGCAGCAACTACATTGAACAATCAGGACGGCGATAATGAATTGGCAATGTCAATCACAAATCGGTACTTGACATCAGATTCTGCAAGTCGTTCCATGGCCATATTGATGTTGTCCACTGAAATCAGCTCGATATCTGCAGTAATGTTGTGCTTTGCACAAAAGTCCAACATTTCCTTCGTCTCTTTCATGCCTCCGATGTCACTTCCTCCAACAAGCTTCCTACCTGATAGTTTAATAACAAAATTTGCAAGATTAATTATATACGATGTTGCACTTACAATGGCTGAAAACTAAAAGTAACATCTTGTTGTTGTTCCAAATCAGTGTGGCTTACCCAAAACCAAAGGGAAAATTGGAAGCTCCAGTGGCTTTTCAGGCAATCCAACAGTGATAAGCTTACCATCCATCTTCAGTAAACTGAGCAACGGAGCCAATGGATGAACCGCAGCAATGGTGTCAATAATGTAATCCATGGTATTCACAGCAGCCTTCATAGACAACCACCAAAACAAAATGTCCATAAAACAACTTTGCTTGAATCAGTCCACACATAAATGCATATTGTTCGGTGAAAAAGTTCAAGAGCTAGAAAGACGAGGGATCTAGTAGTTGGGAGCTAAGATTAGTAGTTGGAAATAATTATGCAAATTTATCTTACAATGGGAACGGAAACCAGAAAAACAAGCAACTAAGCTTAATGTTACAATTTAAACACACAAACAGTGCTTACTAATATTGCTGAACTGCTTTCTTAATCTTCTTAAGAACATCACTTTTTAAGGATTTGTAAGCCTTTTACTTTCATTTCTTTTTCCACTTACGTACCTTCAATTTTGCAGGATCACTACTTAAAACAAAAGCATCCGCACCAAGCTTGTTGATGGCGTCATCTTCCTTCTTTGGAGAGGTGCTGATGACAGTAACTTTTAACCCAAAGGCCTTTCCAATCTTCACAGCAATGTGACCAAGGCCACCTAATCCAGCAACACCCAAATGCTTGCCTGGTTCGGTCATACCATAGTACTTCATTGGGCTGTATACAGTGATTCCAGCACATAATAAAGGTGCCCCAGCATCAGAAGGTAGATTTTCAGGAAATTGAAGAACAAAGCGCTGATGAACAACTATCATATCAGAGTAACCGCCATAGGTATTTGTACCATCATGGTCAGTGGAGTTGTAGGTAAATATCACGTTGGGACAATAGTTCTCCAAGCTCTGTTCACAGATCTCACATGTTTGACAGGAGCCTACAATCACCCCAACTCCAACTCTGTCACCAACCTTGAACTTATGGACACTACTGCCAACGGCTGTCACGAAACCAACAATTTCATGCCTGCACACAAATAAATTATTTATGCTGTAATATAAGCTAAAACTAACACTTCTGCCATTAAATTGGAACAGTCATGAAAATTCAAGATATGAGAGTAAGTATTATGAGAAGGAGCTATAATGTGTAACTTTTGGATGAGGTCATGATTTCATTGATAAGCATCCCCTGGTTGCAACCAGTTCCAAAAGGATTAGCTCCAGTACATTCTAGTAGGATTAATAAACTTAACAGTCGTTGCACTTTTGAAAATGTAATTCAAGAGAATGGTTAATGATTTTAGATGATGTTTTCTAAGCTTTTATTGATCAGTAATCCAAGCAAATTTCTACTGATTAGTAGAACTAATGAATTGGACAGTCCCCTTCTATTGCATAAAGCGTAACAACGATGCTCTGAATTTCCTTTGAGTGAGCTACTTGAACAATATACTCTAGTCCCTTAGTTATTTTTTGGTGTTTCAATTAAGATTCATCAAAGAGAAATTCTACCCTGTTTAGACAAAGCCTAATAATTGTCTGCCTATCGTTGGCATTTTCAAGCAAATCTTAAAAGAACCTTGCAACGGGGCCTGGTAGGGATTGGTGTAGACATTCAACATTTAGCTGTGAGGCACACTTCAAGTAAAATCTAGCACCCATTTCCTTTAATGGCTCAAGAAGCAGAACATATTCCAAATCTCCAAGAGGTTTCTGAACTCAAAAATTATGTGAACCAGATTGTTGTAGGCTTTCTTGGAGAATATTCTCTTTCTTTCTCCCATTATACCCCTTTAATCATCTCTTCAACAAGAAAATTTCAAGGTTAACTTGGTGGAAATAATGCCAAAACTCTCATTTGTCCTTCCCTTCTCCCACATCTATTAGATTATAATTAACCTAAATAATTTTGTATGTACAATTTTTTGCATCTGAGTATGTAGAAAGAGAATTAAAAATAAGCATAGTTTTGAAGACAACTGATGATAATTTAACATGAAATTAAAGTGGTGTTACCCAGGGAGAATGGGGTATTTTGTGAATCCCCATTCATTCTTCAAAATATGTAAGTCTGAGTGACATACTCCACAATAATGTATCTTCACTGTAACATCATCATCACCATTATCTCTGCCATCAGTTCAAACATGTATAAAAATTCCACAATTTTCATTTCTTCTGGTCATAAATCAAAGAGTTAAAACAATTGGCTTTTTGTATAAAATGTTTCAAAAAAAATATAATCACTCCAAAGAGAATACAACATGCATGTTTATACTTATTAAATTCAAAGAATTATACTAGCAATGCAGCCGACCTTTAATGAAGAAGGTACCTGCGGGAGAAATGGAAGGGAGAGAGGATTCCGGAGGGGTCCCTGGCTGCCCAGCCAAAAGCTTTTTGTGGCTGCTCATTCTCTGCTCTTTTCGCCATTTCTCTAAAGCTCTCTGTTTCTGTCTGTGGTGGAGGAACTTGTTGTAGCACTAACTGCAAATAGGCCCAACTCTTTGAAAGTCAATTTTGAGAAATGAGATATATTATGTGAATCCCCTCTCTTCTCCACTATAATCTTTTATCCATATTTGCATCAATGGTCTCAAATTTTCTAAGGAAAGAAATCTCCTTGTTTGATTACAAAGTAACTAAAATAGATTAGAACCCCCTTTAAAGCTCTTGGGATCATTTGGTAGCTGGACAAAACAAGTTTTATTCATGTATTAAAGTCCGTATAACTTATACGACTTTGGTAGGTGAATAAGAAAAAAGTTATTCATTTATATGATTAATACGATGTTTGGTAGGTGGATAAGAAAAAAGTTATTTATGTATATAATTAATATAGTGTTTGGTAGGTGGATAAGAAAAAGGTTATTCATGTATAAAATTAATACGACGTTTGGTTGACAATTTTTGAAATTCGCACAACTAATACATGTATAAGTTATGAGGAAATTTGTGTATTATTTATGCGGAATAGAAGGTGAAATAATTAATATGTGTATAGCTAATACATGAATAAAAAGTTAAAATGACAATATTACTCTTATCACTCCCACTTGACTACTTTCTTCTTCTACAAAATTAAAGAAATGTTTTAATTTAAATACAAAGTTATAGAAGGAAAAAGTATTACCGTAAAGAAATATTTTAATTTTAAAAATATAATTTTACTAATTTTTAATATAAAAAAATAACATCCAAAGGAATAATTTATGCATGACTAAACACCGCATAACTAATACTCACATTACTAATATCTGCATAACTAATACTCACATTATTAATACGTGCATAACTAATACCCACATTATTAATACTTGCATAACTAATACCCACATTACTAATACATGTATAATTTTATTCAGCTACCAAACGACCCCTAAGGGTCCTTGGCACTAAATCATGATATAAAATTAAATCTATATGAAATTGAAGTTTTGTTTAAATATATAATTTGATAATTGACATTTCTCATATTAATAATCAACTAAATCAAGAAGTTCAAAACCTTATTAATTTCGTACAATCTGACATTTCCCGAGAACCTAGTCTAGATATGGATAAGAGTTTCTACTACATTTATAGCTACGATAAGAAAAGAGAAATTCACGGGATTAAAAAGGAGCAAGCCAAGAAAAAGTTCCAAGGCAACTGCTATAATTGTAGAAAAGCTGGTCACAAAGTTCCCAAAGAAGGACTGATAAGGACAAGAGCAAGAGTCACATAAACATGGTGGAAAAAATTGAGGATGTGGATGACCTCTGTGTTATGATATAGGAGTGCAACTGGGTTGGAAACCCAAAGAAATGATTTCTTGTCTCTGGTACTACTCAATATGTTTGTTCTGTAAAAAAAAAAAAAAAAAAGCCTATGCAAGCTACACTCCCGTTGAATTCGATAAAGAATTTTTCATGAAAAATACTGGATCCGTGCCAAGATTGAAGGATGTTGAAAGGTACTTTTGATGATTTCTGGCAAGGTGTTGACTCTCAACAAAGTCTTGCACGTTTCTACAATTAGGAGAAATTTAGTTTCGGACTATTCATTAAAAATGGGCTTAAGTTTGTGCTTGTTAGTGAAAAAACTGTAATAAGTAAGAAAGAAATGTTCTTAGTAAAAGGCTACCTCACTAAGGGCCTTTTCAAGCCAAATGTAATTGTTGTTGAATGAGTATTCTGAAAGGTTCCAATAAACTCGGGTATTTGAGAGAAATAATTTTCTAAGGATATATGATGCATTCAATAGACTCAATCTTCTTCTTTTCAATACTATTTCTGTTTTTTGTTTCGGATTCTATTTTTAACACTAGTTTTTAAGTTACTATTTTTGAAATAATACTTTAAACTTTGTTGTTTCTTACAAATTTATGCAAAGTTGTTGTTCTAAATCATTTGGTAATACATATTAGATAACAATTATAAGGAAATTTATTTTTTTTATTAGAGTAAATATATAAAAATTCTTTTAAACTTTGCAGCAAAATTTACTTTAACAATTCAATTTTACGGGTGTTTATTTACCCACCCACCCCCGGATCTAATATGACGTGAATTAAATATCACTCAAATAGCTGGCATGACAGATAAAAAAAACTTAGGCGCATTAAATAACTATAATTTTTATTTTAAAAAAAAAAAAAGTGGACCCTTTTTTTCTTTCTTTCTTCCTCGCACCCATCCACCCTCTTCTCCCCTTCCATCCACCCATCTGTTTTGAGAAATGAGATATATTATGTGAATCCCCTCTCTTCTCCACTATAATCTTTTATCCATATTTGCATCAATGGTCTCAAATTTTCTAAGGAAAGAAATCTCCTTGTTTGATTACAAAGTAACTAAAATAGATTAGAACCCCCTTTAAAGCTCTTGGGATCATTTGGTAGCTGGACAAAACAAGTTTTATTCATGTATTAAAGTCCGTATAACTTATACGACTTTGGTAGGTGAATAAGAAAAAAGTTATTCATTTATATGATTAATACGATGTTTGGTAGGTGGATAAGAAAAAAGTTATTTATGTATATAATTAATATAGTGTTTGATAGGTGGATAAGAAAAAGGTTATTCATGTATAAAATTAATACGACGTTTGGTTGACAATTTTTGAAATTCGCACAACTAATACATGTATAAGTTATGAGGAAATTTGTGTATTATTTATGCGGAATAGAAGGTGAAATAATTAATATGTGTATAGCTAATACATGAATAAAAAGTTAAAATGACAATATTACTCTTATCACTCCCACTTGACTACTTTCTTCTTCTACAAAATTAAAGAAATGTTTTAATTTAAATACAAAGTTATAGAAGGAAAAAGTATTACCGTAAAGAAATATTTTAATTTTAAAAATATAATTTTACTAATTTTTAATATAAAAAAATAACATCCAAAGGAATAATTTATGCATGACTAAACTCCACATAACTAATACCTGCATAACTAATACTCACATTACTAATATCTGCATAACTAATACTCACATTATTAATACGTGCATAACTAATACCCACATTATTAATACTTGCATAACTAATACCCACATTACTAATACATGTATAATTTTATTCAGCTACCAAACGACCCCTAAGGGTCCTTGGCACTAAATCATGATATAAAATTAAATCTATATGAAATTGAAGTTTTGTTTAAATATATAATTTGATAATTGACATTTCTCATATTAATAATCAACTAGATCAAGAAGTTCAAAACCTTATTAATTTCGTACAATTTGACATTTCCCGAGAACCTAGTCTAGATATGGATAAGAGTTTCTACTACATTTATAGCTACGATAAGAAAAGAGAAATTCACGGGATTAAAAAGGAGCAAGCCAAGAAAAAGTTCCGAGGCAACTGCTATAATTGTAGAAAAGCTGGTCACAAAGTTCCCAAAGAAGGACTGATAAGGACAAGAGCAAGAGTCACATAAACATGGTGGAAAAAATTGAGGATGTGGATGACCTCTGTGTTATGATATAGGAGTGCAACTGGGTTGGAAACCCAAAGAAATGATTTCTTGTCTCTGGTACTACTCAACATGTTTGTTCTGTAAAAAAAAAAAAAAAAAAGCCTATGCAAGCTACACTCCCGTTGAATTCGATAAAGAATTTTTCATGAAAAATACTGGATCCGCGCCAAGATTGAAGGATGTTGAAAGGTACTTTTGATGATTTCTGGCAAGGTGTTGACTCTCAACAAAGTCTTGCACGTTTCTACAATTAGGAGAAATTTAGTTTCGGACTATTCATTAAAAATGGGCTTAAGTTTGTGCTTGTTAGTGAAAAAACTGTAATAAGTAAGAAAGAAATGTTCTTAGTAAAAGGCTACCTCACTAAGGGCCTTTTCAAGCTAAATGTAATTGTTGTTGAATGAGTATTCTGAAAGGTTCCAATAAACTCGGGTATTTGAGAGAAATAATTTCCTAAGGATATATGATGCATTCAATAGACTCAATCTTCTTCTTTTCAATACTATTTCTGTTTTTTGTTTCGGATTCTATTTTTAACACTAGTTTTTAAGTTACTATTTTTGAAATAATACTTTAAACTTTGTTGTTTCTTACAAATTTATGCAAAGTTGTTGTTCTAAATCTTTTGGTAATACATATTAGATAACAATTATAAGGAAATTTATTTTTTTTATTAGAGTAAATATATAAAAATTCTTTTAAACTTGGCAGCAAAATTTACTTTGACAATTCAATTTTACGGGTGTTTATTTACCTACCCACCCCCGGATCTAATTTGACGTGAATTAAATATCACTCAAATAGCTGGCATGACAGATAAAAAAAACTTAGGCGCATTAAATAACTATAATTTTTATTTAAAAAAAAAAAAAAGTGGACCCTTTTTTTCTTTCTTTCTTCCTCACACCCATCCACCCATCTGTTTTTATTCCTTTTTTTCCAACCACACTTTTCCATTCCATCTTCTTTCTCACAATCTCACACACACGGAGACCCACCACCCCCTTTCTCCTTCTTTAAACCTTTCAAACCCATTATTTTTTTCTTTCTTCAAACTTTACGCTACATACAAAATATATTAACCTATCAATTTCTTATTAAATGCACACATAAAAGTCATAAGAAATTTCAACCACCACATAATTTTCTTTATTCTACACTTTCAAAATTTGATTGTTTGTTTTTGAAAGTTTTAAATATCACCAAAAAAAAAAAAAATCAACGGAGGAAAATGAGACTATAGAAAATTTTAATTTTAAGAACTAATGATAACAACGGAAATGCAAGTGAAGTGTATAGAAAGAAATTTGTTTTTTGTGAAAGCAATGCAAATACTTCATTTGTCCCTAATTATTTGTTCATATTTTCTTCTTTAGTTGTCCCTAATTACTTGTTCATTTTGACAAATCAAGAAAGGACAATTTTTTTACTTATTATACCCTCAATTAATTACTTTAAAAAAGGTTAAACTCTTTGAAAATCTTATGTTTTTAATTCATTTACTTTATAATTAATA